TGGTGTCAGTGGGAGGAATAGTTATCCCATCATTGGAATTAGTGGGAGGAATAGTGCCCCATCAATTGGTGGTCAGTGGGAAGAATAGCGCCCCATCATTGGTGTCAGTGGGGAGGATTAGCGCCCCATCATTGGTGTCAGTGGGAGGAATAGTGCCCCATCATTGAGAGGGTGTCCCATCAGTCAGTGGGAGCAATAGTGCCCCATCATTGGGTGTCAGTGGGAGGAATAGTGCCCCATCATTGGTGTCAGTGGGAGGAATAGTGCCCCATCATTGGTGTCAGTGGGAGGAATAGTGTCCCATCATTGGTGTCAGTGGAGGAATAGTGAGCCCCATCATTGGTGTCAGTGGAGGAAAAGTGTCCCCATCATTGGTGTCCAGTAGGGAGGAATAGTGCTCCATCATTGGTGTCAGTGGGAGAGGAATAGTTCCCCATCATTGGTATTAGTTGGGAGGAATAGTGCCCCATCATTGGTGTCAGTGGGAGGAATAGTGCCCCATCATTTGTGTCAGTGGGAGAATAGTGCCCCATCATTGGTGTCAGTGGGAGGAAAATAGCGCCCCATCATTGGTGTCAGTGGGAGGAATAGTGCCCCATCTTGGTGTCAGTGAGAGGAAAGCGTCCCATCATTGGTAATCAGTGGGAGGAATAGTGTCCCATCATTGGTGTCAGTGGGAGGAATAGTGCCCCATCTTTGGTGTCAAGTGGGAGGAATAGCGCCCCATCATTGGTGTCAGTGGGAGGAATACGCCCCATCATTGGTGTCAGTGGGAGGAATAGTGCTCCATCATTGGTGTCAGTGGAGGAATAGTGCCCCATCATTGTGTCAGTGGGAGGAATAGTGCCCCCCATCATTGGCTGTCAGTGGGAGGACAAGTGCCCCATCATTGGTGTCAGTGGAGGAATAGTGCCCCATCAATGGTGTCAGTGGGAGGAATAAGCGCCCCATCATTGGTGTCAGTGGGAGGAATAGTGACCCCCATCTTTGGTGTCAGTGGGAAGGAATAGTGTCCCATCATTGGTGTCAGTGGGAGGAATATAGCCCCATTCATTGGTGTCAGTGGGAGGATAGCGCCCCATCATTTGGTGTCAGTGGGAGGAAATAGCGCCCCATCATTGGTGTCAGTGGGAGAATAGTGCTACCATCATTGGTGTCAGTGGGAGGAATATTGCCCCATCATTGGGATGTCAGTGGGAGGAATAGTTGCCCCATCATTGGTGTCAGTGGGAGGACAAGTGCCCCACATTGGTGTCAGTGGGCGGAATAGTGCCGCCATCATTGTGTCAGTGGGAGGAATAGTGCCCCATCATTGGTATCAGTGGGAGGAAAATATGCCCCATCATTAGGTATCAGTGGGAGGAATAGTGCCCCATTATAGGTATCGGTTGGGAGGAATCGTGCCCCAATCATTGGTTCAGTGGAGGAAGAGTGTCCATCATTGGGTGTCAGTAGAAGGAATAGTAATTTCAACATTGGTTTCAATGGAGGAATAGTGCCCCATCATTGGTGTCAGTAATGGGAAGAATAGTGCCCATCAGTTTGGTGTCCAGTGGGAGGACATATTGCCCCATCATTGGTGTCAGTGGAGGAATAGTTTCCCCATCATTGAATGGGTCTTCTTAGTGGGAGGAATAGCGCCCCATCATTGGTTGTCAGTGGAGGAATAGCGCCCCATCATATTGGTGTCAGTGGGAGGAATAGCGCCCCATCATTGGTGTCATGTGGGAGGGAATAGCGCCCCATCATTGTGCTTTCAGTGGGAGGAAATAGTGGCCCCATCATTGGTATCAGTGGGAGGAATAGTGCCCACATTGGTGTCAGTGGGAGGAATAGTGTCCCATCATTGGTGTCAGTGGGAGGAATGGTGCCCCAAAGGCCACATCCGGCCCCCAGGCCACAGTTTGGAGACCAACTGCCCTAGACTGTGTTACTGGAGCCAGTGTGAATTGGCTGGTGCTTGTGGTGGGGGGCAGCCTCTGTATATTTAGGAGAGAAACCGGTTGATTACCAGCGGCCCTATTGGGGTAGCTTTACATTGTACTTTTTTAATTATTTTGTCATTTGCGTGAGTTGCAATACATTTGCTGACCTCATTTTGTGGATAATATATTTTGTTCATAAATCTTGGAGGTGATCAGCACAGCAATACAAGTATAATGCCGACCAAAGAAACGAGTCGAAAATCGCAGATTTTTCGGCCGATAAAAAAATTGACCGATTTTCGCATGTTCGTGGGGTTATTGGTCGGATTGGTCTCCCTCGGACCGTTTTTTCAGGGTTTTTTGCACATTTCTTTTATCAGTCATGTCGGAAAAATTTCCTGCCGATTTTTACGATCGGCCGATTTTGCCGCCAATGACGGACACATCGGCCGGTCGTTTTAACCGATAAAAAAATCTGCGCATGAGCCGTGACCTGCAAGAAGAAGAAGAAGAAGAAAAGAAGGAGAAGAAGAAGAAGAAGTCCGTTATATTTTATATGAAAGTCTTGCGGTTACAATGAATGTATCCATTTGTATCCGAATAATGTACTTGTATGGCTGTCACATTGTACGGTGCGCTCCCCCCGTCTCTGCAGGGACAGAAGTTTATGGGGTTGATGCCGGCCATAGACGGGTCGAAAATCGGCCGATTTTTTTAACGTTGGTGGTAACTTCGGTCGATCCAACGACTGATTTTTCATTTTTTTTTTTTTTTAAATCAGACTGATGTTGGACCCGTCTATGGCCTGCTTAAGGGATCGCTAAGCTCTTAGGATATTAGGGGCTATCAATGAAGATCTGCCGATCGTGGGCCCTCGGGGGTTGTCTCGGGGGAAGAAGTTTCTTCCATACATAGTCTACCAATCTTAGTAGAAGATTTTACACCTCTCCATCTACACCTCCTCCCCCTCACTCCCCCTCTCTGTTGGGGTCCCTCAAGGCTCTGTCCTCGGGCCCCTTCTCTTCTCTATCTACACCTCCCCCTCTCTGTTGGGGTCCCCCAGGGCTCTGTCCTTGGACCCCTTCTCTTCTCCATCTACACCTCCTCCCTTGGCCAACTCATACACTCCCACGGCTTCAACTACCACCTCTATGCTGATGACACTCAAATTTACCTCTCCACCCCCCACCTCACCTCCACTTTCTCCGCCCGCATCACTCACCTCCTAAACGACATCTCTGACTGGATGTCGCTACATTTCCTCAAGCTTAACCTCTCCAAAACCGAGCTTCTCATCTTCCCCCCAGCCCGCGCCCCCCCCCCCCCATCCTATCCATCACTACTAACAACACCACCATCAATCCCGCCCCGCAAGCCAAAGTCCTTGGAGTCATTCTGGACTCGAACCTTTCCTTCCAACCGCATGTCAAATCACTTACAAACACATGCAGGCTCCACCTCCGGAACATCGCCAAGATACGCACCTTCCTCACCCCAGACACCACAAACTACTCGTACACTCCCTGATTATCTCACGTCTGGACTACTGCAACTCCCTCCTCACCGGCCTACCCCAGTGCAGGCTCTCCCCGCTTCAGACCATCCTGAAACTCAGCGGCCAGACTCATCCCACCTCACCAGCCGCTCCACCTCTGCCTCCCCCCTCTGCCAATCCCTCCACTGGCTCCCTATCGCCCAACGCATCAAATTCAAATTGCTCACTCTGACCTACAAAGCCGTTCACAACACTGCCCCTGACTACCTCACCGACCTGATCCCAAGTACCACCCTAACCCGTACCCTTCGCTCTTCACAGACCTCCTTCTATCTTGCTCCCCTGGTCTCCTCCTCCCATGCACGTCTGCAGGACTTCTCCAGGTCCTCCCCCATCCTCTGGAACTCACTACCCCAATCCATCAGACTGTCACCTTCCCCCTCCTCACCTTCAGGAGCTCCCTGAAAACCCACCTCTTCAGGGAAGCCTACCCCACCCTCACCTAACAGCCGTTCTCCTCCATTCCTCCTACCACTCCATCCCCAACAGCCACTTCCTCCTGTACCACTACCCCCTCCCTCCTAGATTGTAAGCTGGAAAGAGTAGGGCCCTCTTACCCCTCGTGTGCTGTTTGTAGTTGCTGTAATGTTTCATGTATTGTCCCCCCCTCTATTGTACAGCGCTGAGCAAAACCCTTTGGCGCTATATAAACTCAATGTAATGTAATGTAATGTAATTTTGCACCAAAGCCAAGTCTGTGGGTGGGGATGGGCACTGACAGATAGGTGGTGGCAGCACAAGTGGTGAGAGGAGAAGATTGCCAGGAAATGTCAGTTCAGTTGATCTTCTCATCGGGGGTCCAGAGGCAATTGGAAGGGTTTGGAGGAAAGGACGGGTCACTCAACGACGAGGAGAGATCCGCTCGTCCTTGCAGCGTGCCAACCACTTGTCTCTCATCCAAACTCCCCAACGGCGAGCGCAGAGTCAAGATCATTCGCCTTTTCTACGGGACAGAGGAAACGATCGACAGCCGCTGCTGCAGAGATTTCCCACAATGCCGGAGAAGCATTGTCTGACATTTTGACATACAGAAAACATGGCCGTCACCCCCCCCCCCCCTGCTCAGCCCCGATGTTCCTCTCGGCACCGAAACTGTTTTTTTGGCTTCAATGGGCCATAACATTGAGCACAATGTAGGGAAAGGAAGTCCTATAAGTCGCTCAGGACAGCAAAACCCTGCGAGGAAGTCCATGACCGCCTCAGGGTAGGATCCAGCCAGGCCACTCCTCCCCCAATGAGCTTCACTCCGGAGTGAAACCCGTTGGGAGGGGGTGCAGCTTGGTGCGACTTGTAGGACCTCCTTTCCCTACTTGATGCTGTCGGCACTCCTAGCAGTTTGCCAAGGAAGAGGTCCTCTTGGAGTCTTGAGCGGCAACTGTTATTTGTGCTGTGGGTCCCACACAGTGATCATAGATGGAATGCACTTCCCTATATGTCAGGGGTCCCCAAACTACGGCCCGGGGGCCCAGGGGGTGTGTTTAGGTTTTGTGCTGCCCTAGGCAACACACAAATCACCTGCCCCCCACAGACATCGACCAACCCAACCCCCCCCCTTCCCCTACTGAGGAGAAAGCCTGACAATGACCAACAGCACCACTGCCCCCACAAATCCCCCCAGTGATAGAGAGACATTCATCTTCACAGCTCTGGACATCCCCGGAACGAGAGTCAGGCTCTACACACACCATCAAGCAGCCCTCAGCCTCTCTCGGATCCCACCTGGTTCCCAGGGTGCGCGTGTCCCTTCTTCCATCCCTTCTTCTGGGGGGAGGTGCTGCCCCTCTGAAAAATGCCGCCCTAGGCAAGAACCTTGTTTGCCTTGTGGTAAATACGCCCCTGTCTGGGCCACAACCGGCCCTCCTACAAGATTTTACCAGGAACACAGCAACTTGAATGGGATGGGTGGAGTTGTGATGTGATGGGAGGGTTTTGACATGATGGGGAGGGGCAATGATGTGATGGGGGGGTTCTGATGTGATGGGAGGGTTCTGATGTGATGGGGGGGTTCTGATGTGATGGGAGGGTTCTGATGTGATGGGGGGGGGGGACTTCTACATGTGATGGGAGTGGGGGTTCTGATGTGATGGGAGGGTTCTGACATGATGGGGGGGGGGGTTCTGATGTGATGGGGGGGTTCTGATGTGATGGGGGGGGTTCTGATGTGATGGAGGGGGGGGTGATGGGGGGGGTTCTGATGTGATGGGATGGGAGGGTTCTGATGTGATGGAGGACTTCTAATGTGATGGGAGTGTTCTGATGTGATGGGGGGGTTCTGATGTGATGGGAGGGTTCTGATGTGATGGGAGGGTTCTGACATGATTGGGGGGGGGGGTGGGTTCTGATGATGGGATGAATGATGGGGGGGTTCTGATGTGATGGGGGGGTTCTGATGTGATGGGAGGGTTCTGATGTGATGGGGGGGGGGTTCTGATGTGATGGGGGGGGTTCTGATGTGATGGGGGGGTTCTGATGTGATGGAGGACTTCTAATGTGATGGGAGGGTTCTGACATGATAAGGGGGGGGGGTTCTGATGTGATGGGAGGGTTCTGATGTGATGGGAGGGTTCTGATGTGATGGGGGCTTCTGATGTGAATTATTGAACTCATTCTAAACAGACTGGGACCCCCCCCCCCCCCCGTTATATATGATAAATACTGATGGGGTGTTTTTAGTGGGGCAAGCTTTAGATATATTTTTGGCTCATACAGATCAGCAGATCCTCTCACCTTGTGAGCTGCAACAAAGTTACAATGTACAGTGTTAGTGTCATCCACTGACACCAAGGTCAGAGGTTATTATTTCATCCACTGACACCAAGGGTCGGAGGTTATTATTTCATCCACTGACACCAAGGTCAGAGGTTATTATTTCATACACTGACACCAAGGTCAGAGGTTATTATTCATCCACTGACACCAATGCTGGTCGGAGGTAGTTATTATTTCATCCACTGACACCAAAGCAGGAGGTTAATATTGCATACATACACACCAATGAAGGGGGTCATTATTTCATCCACTTACTCAAATGCTGGGGTTATTATTACTTTCACTGACACCAATGCAGGGGGTATTATTGCATCCAATGACACCAATGCAGGGGTCATTATTTCATCCACTTACTCAAATGCTGGGGGTTATTACTGCATTCACTGACACCAATGCAGGGGGTTGTTATTGCATCCACTGATACCAATGCAGGGGTTGTTATTTGCATTCACTAATGATGGTATATGCACTCCAACTCTCTTTTCAGTGTGCATTGTTTGTACGCTGCAAAAGAATGCAACGGGACTGAAATTTTGTGTGGCGTTGAGGTGCATTACAGCATGTTCATTCTGGGTGGGCTGCTTGGCTTAATGCAATGCACCTTAACACACAAAAGCACACTGCCACTCTGTGGCCCTCTGGAAGTGTTTGGGCCACACTTGAGGCCCCTCTATTATTTACAAGACAACCACCACACCTGGTCTAGGTCTTCTGCACCCCATTCAGGACTACAATAGGAGTTTTTTTTGCCGGAGTCTGGCTCTAAATCCACCATAGGCAAGGCGTGTCCCCATTCACCAGTAATGCAGCCATTCAGCGGCTTGTCCATGAACTCCAGTAGGGATCACGGGAACGCCGGCTGTGTTTTATTTTCTTCACTCTTTGTAAATCCGGTCGAATTTCCTTTTTACCGGAAATATGATATATTGACCACCATTAAATAAGCCACATGTCGCTTAATGTACTTTAATACGGTTCTCCAAGTTGAGGGGCTTCACAACACCAACTTCCCCAATGGCATCATTATCTATGAGCTCACGAGGAGCATTTTTAATTCCTGAGAAAATAATGATTTTTTTTTTTTTTCCTGGAAATGTAACAACTGGAAATAACAATGACCTATTTCTTCTCCAGAACGATGCCAACTCGTCACGAGGAAATTTATGTCGCAAGAAAAAAATGAATTGACCCAAGCATGGCAAAGCTGACCCCATGCCGCCAGCTGATCAAATGCAAAGAGCGACCGACGAGGGCGAATGTTCATTTCACAATTTTATGAACGGAGGTTTATAGTAACTGGAAACGATCGGGATTTTTTTCAAGCCGGAATGTGGCGAAACTCCAAACTTCCACCTCTGACACCGCCCTATCCTCTCCGGCCTGTCACTGGTAGAGATGAGCCTTGTGTGTTGGGATGCTCTTCTGAACCCACTTGGCCGAGCTCACCGGGCAACAGCCATCTGAAATTGGCTAATCATCTGCGGTGGGGGCATTCTCTTGTATCTTCTTCTCCCATCACATCAGAAGCCCCCCATCACATCAGAACCCTCCCATCACATCAGAACCCCCCATCACATCAGAACCCCCCCCATCACATCAGAAACCCTCCCATCACATCAGAGCCCCCCCTCCCCATCATGTCAGAACCCTCCCATCACATTAGAAGTCCTCCATCACATCAGAACCCTCCCATCACATCAGAACCCCCCCATCACATCAGAACCCTCCCATCACATCAGAGCCCCCCCCGCTCCCCATCATGTCAGAACCCTCCCATCACATCAGAAGTCCTCCATCACATCAGAACCCTCCCATCACATCAGAACCCCCCCATCACATCAGATCCCCCCCATCACATCAGAACCCCCTATCACATCAGATCCCCCCCATCACATCAGAACCCTCCTATCACATCAGACGTCCCATATCACATCAGAACCCTCCTATCACATCAGAAACCCTCTCATCACATCAGAACCCTCCCTAAGAATCACAGAACCCTCCCCAACCAAAACCCCCCCAAACCCCATAGGCACATCAGAACCCCCCCCCCACATCAGAACCCTCCCATTCATCAAGACCCCCCTCCCCATCAGAACCCTCCCCCCATCACATCAGAACCTCCCATCACATCAAGCCCCCCCCCCATCCCCATCACATCAGAACCCTCCCTATCACATCAGAAGTCCTCCATCACATCGGAAACCCCCATCACATCAGAACCCCCCCCCCCCCCCCATCACATCAGAACCCCCCCCATCACATCAGAACCCTCCCCCCCCCCCCCATCATCATTCAGAACCCCCATCCCATCACATCAGAGCCCCCCCCCCCCCCTCCCCCATCATGTCAGAACCCTCCCATCCACATTAGAATGTCCTCCATCACATCAGAACCCTCCCATCACATCAGAACCTCAGATCCCCCCATCACATCAGAACCCCCCCATCACCCCCCCCCCCATCATCAGAACCCTCCCATCACATCAGAACCCCTATCACATCAGAACCCCATCACATCAGAGCCCCCCCCCTCCCCATCACATCAGAACCCTCCCATCACATCAGATCAGTCCTCCATCACATCAGAACCCTCCCATCACATCAGAGCCCCCCCCCTCCCCATCATGTCAGAACCCTCCCATCACATCAGAAGTCCTCCATCACATCAGAACCCTCCCATCACATCAGAGCACTCCCCCCCATCACATCAGAACCCTCCCCATCACATCAGAGCACCCCCTCCCCATCATGTCAGAACCCTCCTATCACATCAGAATGTCCTCCATCACATCAGAACCCTCCCATCACATCAGAGCCCCCCTCCCCATCATGTCAGAACCCCCCCTTACATCAGAAGTCCTCCATCACATCAGAAACCTCCCATCACATCAGAGCCCCCCTCCCCATCATCACCATCATCACATCAGACCTCCATCCATCAGAACCCTCCCATCACAACAGAAGTCCTCACATCAGAACTCCCCCCATCCCATCCCAAGTTGCTGTGGGCCTGGTAAAATCTTGTAGGCGGGCCGGAAGTGGCCCACGCAGGGGTGTATTTACCACAAGGCAAACAAGGCACTTGCCTAGGGCAGCATTTTTTACCTCCCCCCTAGAAGAAGGGATGAAAGAAGGGACACATGCGCCATAGGAACCAGGTGGGATCCGAGAGAGGCTCTGGGCTGCTTGTTGGTGCATGTAGAGCCTGACTCTCATTCCTGGGGCTGTCTGGAGCTGTGAAGATGAGTGTCTTTCTACCGGTCATGGGGGAAGATGATTTTTGTGTTTGCCTATAGCTGCACAAAGCCTAAATACACCTCTGTATTGGGCTGCAGGGTGGGGAATGATGGTCCATTTCAGATGACAGCTTCCTGGTGAGCTCAGCCAAAAGGGTTCAGGGGAGCATCAGACCATGCTCAAGCTTATCTCTAGTCATTGGTAAACACTGAAGCCGGCAGAGGAAGTTCTCTGCACTAATCACTTCCTCTGCTGGCTTCTGTGTTTACCAGTGACAGCAGTCTTCTATTGGTTGAACCGGATGGTCTTTTTTTCCACCAGACTAACTATATAACTATGTAGCACCCCTTCAGAGGCTCAGCCGTGCTCCTCGCTGAGGTCTCCACCCTGGCTAAGTTGTAGGAGAACTCTGTATTGTGTGTGTGTGTTGGTAGGGGGTGCTCTGTACTGTAGTAGTGGTGGTGGGGGGGGGGCTGTACTATTGCACTGTGAGGGGAGGCTCTGGGGGAAAAAAGAGAGGGTGGGGGAGAACTCTGTAGGGGGGGAAGGGGGTTTGGGGAAAGCTACGTACTGTGGGGGATGCTCTACTGAGTGGAGGTAAGGGGACATGCTGTACTGGAGGTGAGGGAGCTCTGTACTGGGAAAGAGAAAGGGGGGGAGGAGCTCTGTACTACAGCATAATGGGAGGTGGGAGAATTCTGTATGGGGGGGGGGGGGCAGCAAGACACAATTTGAAGGAATTGCAGGAGAATCTTCAGAATCTAATTCTTACAGAAATATGCCCTCCTAGTCAAGCAAAAAATAAGCAGATGTCCAACCAAGAATGACAGGTG